GGCCCCGCTCCCAGGGCCCCTCTCTGCTTCCTTCTATTCCCCTGAGCTTCCTAATCCTTGGGTTTGTTTAGATTGTGTGGGTTGGTAGGGACTTTTTGGGGAGGGAGGTGGAAAACTGACACAAGGTTTGAGAAGGTCACAGGGAGGCTGCGCTGTCCCCATCTCACCCACCTGCCTGCCCTCTGCCCGCTGCTGCCGAGGGTCCTGCCTGGGTGTCTTCATCCCGTGCTCCCTTCCCGGGCATCACCCCAGCACTGCTGCCGTGCTGGTCCCCAAGCCAGCGTCCCCAGCATCCCACACCATCCTGCTCCCACATGTGGGGGTGGTGGGCTGGAGGTCGGGGTGACCCCACGGGCTGGGCTCCCCTCTGGGAGCTGGGGGCTCGGGGCAGGGTCCCACTGGGGGGTTTGCTTTGGTGGCATCGCAGACCTCAGTCTCTGCATGAAGCTGCATCTGTTGGACTTCGACCCCAGAGCAGACAAACCCTATTTCCGTGTAAGAAGGAGAGTCTGGGCTGGTTTGGTTTAAATGCATTCCCCACCAGCTCTGGCAGCACTGCCTGGGGTCTGGTTTCAATCAGAGGAGGAATGTCTGCCCAGGCCCAGCTTTGCACTGCACAAGCAGCCTGAGTTTCACTTCCCTGGGGCTGCCCAGGGCCGGGGAGGAGGGGGACAGCAGCAGCTCCCCACACTGTCACCTCCCTTGCCCAGCTCTTCCCAGCCATGTTGAGGACATGGAGCTGGGGGAATCCCAGTCTCTCGATACTACTGGCCTTTACGAGTAAATTAGTGGCCAAGCGTGCCAGGGACGCGGACAATGGCTGCGTGATTAAACCGGGATCCCACAACATCCCGTGTGGGCTCACCACCCCCACGTGATGGAGATGCAGGCAGTGATGCAACCCCAGCTGGATCTGGGGGGTGTCCTGCTGGCTGTAGCCGCTTTTAACCCCCTGGCATGTTGTCCTCCAGCCTGTTCCCGCAGTGACAGTTTGCAGGCCACAGGTGCTGCCGACGCAGAGCTGGAGCATCGGGATTGTGTGCAGGTCTCCTGGGATCAGAGAAGCCGGGGGAAGGAAACCTGCAATAAGTACAGAGCATTTATACAGGCTTTAGGCTAAATCCTTCCCTCCCGGGGTGGCTGGCTGGAGCAGGCACGGCAAAGCCGTTTCTTAAAGTTTGTTATCCCTTTTCAGGCCAGGACTTTGCAGTTGGCAGCAGGGCTGGATTAGGAAGGGGGAGAGAGAGAGGCATTGCGTGCTGGGGGCAATGCTGAGTGAGCCGGGCTGGCAACCAGGGGCTTCGTTTCAGCAATGTTCAGGGTGACAAGTCCAACATCTCCAGGTGAGATAGCACAGCAGCCCAGAGCGGCTCCGGGAGGAGGATGAAGGAGAAACACCCAACCTGACACACACGTGTGTCCTGTAATAGCCCTCGGCCACGTCGGTGGGAGCAAAAAACGAGCCCTATCAGCATCTTCCACCTTCCACCCTGTCCCGCTCAGAGGGAAAAGGGGCAGAGTCAGGGCTGCTCTTCTGGATGCCTTGGGCTTTACCACACTGAAGACTTCAGCCTTATTTCACTTAAAATCCCAGGACTGCTTCTGTTCTGGCCAGGTCGGTGTCTTGAGGGTCTGGAGAAGCAGTCCTTGCTGGCCTCCCAGCATCACACCAGCGTCAAGGGCTTGGGGCAGCTCCTGCTCCTTCTCAAAGCACTCCCCGAGGTCTCTTCTGGACGAATGGTGTTTGTCAGAAGGTCCCAGGGAGCTGGCTTTCAGGGGACGCAAGAAGTCACCCACTTTTCTCCAGGAACCGAATAACGAAGCTGTCCCCACACATGAGGGAAGGTGGACTCAGCCCTGAGGGTCTGGATTTGGGGTTTCTGCCTTCGCCCCAGAGACAGTGGAGGAGTCAAGGGTGGGGATCTGCCATCATCCACATCCCACACACCGTGGAGCTGAAGTCTCGTTTTTTTTGCCTTCACCTCCCACTCGAGGATTGGGAGCCAAGTACATTTCTCATTGCACCCAGCGTGCGGGGAGGAGGAGAGGCAATGTGGGAGGGCACGGGGGGAGTGGGAGAAGCCGTTGGCAGGTGGGTACAGACCCCGCAGGGACACGGCACACCAGGAGCAGAGGCTCGGAGGGCCCGGAAACCCATCCTCACCCCCTGCGGCCATGCAAATGGAGGACAGCGTGAACAGGCATTTGATCTCTCCCTGCCGTGCAGAAGCTGCGGGAGGAGCAGGCTGGTGCTTGGCAGGGACGAGGCCCCGCTGGCAAGGCTGGCACCGCGGTGCCACCTCGTCGCGAGGACGAGTCCGTGGGAAGGAGGTGGAAAGCAGGAGAGCTGCAATGCTCAACTGGAGAGGGGAGAGGGATCAGGGTGTTGAAATAAATCGGGAACTGAGAGAGATGGAGTGATTTCTTCCATACAGATTACCCAGGCTGATCCCATCTCAGCCTTCCCGCTGGCTGTGGGAACCAAGTCCTCTGTCCCCATCCCTGAGCCCCGTGGCCCTGGGCCGCCCTGCTACAGCAGCGGGCACTGTGCTGAGCTCCTCCCTGGGACAGCAGGCAGCCACTGTGGGCAGCTTGGGCTGGGCAGGGTGAGCAAATGCCATCCCAGCCCTCAGGGCTGCCACCTCCCTCCGCACAGCACCTTGCACCAACGGGACCGGGGGGGTCACCCGAGTCACTACAGGGCTGTACAGGCTGGCAGGGCATGGGGGGGGGATGCTGCCTGCCTGCCAGTGCAATCCCCAACCGTGATTTTGCAGCAATGGTGTCAACACAGCATCTTTCTCCTTCTGGAACAAGTCGCCTCCTAAACCCGAGCCCTCAAGAGCAATAGTCGCAGGAAACCATGGAAACGGGCGGCTGGCGCGTGACAGCGTGTGCCTGCACTCCTGCCCCTGATTTATGTCTCACTCGTCTGGGACGAGACGCAGAAGTTCAGGGCTGTTGGGTTTCGTTTGGGATTTTGAGGCAGCAGAGCATCACCGCCACTTTACTCACCATCTCCTCTTTGCAGAGCAGGATGGCACGTGGGAGCGGGGCTGGGCTCCTGCCAGGGCCAGATGTGATGTCCCCAAAGAGGGGGGCAGAAACCTTGAGAAGGCTGATAAATCTTTCACTTACTTTTCTAATATTTTCTAATATTCTAATATTTCTAAATGGAGACTCTTGAGCCAAGACCCTTCGATTCCCAGTGCCGGGGAGCGAGGCGAAGCGCCCACTGCAGCCAGGCTCACCATGTAGCCAGGCACCAGGCTGTGAGCCCACTATTGACTAAGGCACAAGGTACGAAAGCTTCAAGGAGTCCTTTTCTTTGAACACACAGCAAGTAATAACTTAACCAATGCTCCACTTAGATTATCGCCCGAGCATGTCAGAATTTGAGTTTTTTCCCTTTTTGAAAGCGCTAGCGCTGCATTGCAGTTTTGCTCTGGTTTTAAGCTGGGTCTAAGCGCAGCACCTCTTCCCCTGCATTTTTAAGGGAGGGCAATAAGCTTGGCCATGCCATCCTGGGTCCAGAGGGGTTTCTCCGCTGCGTGGTGGCCACCTGGGCACATTGTAGTTAATATTTGAGCTTGGGCTCACGGGTGCTAATCCCAGCGGCTAATGGACAGGAGGCAAATCCAAACTTTAAGCTAGCTGGTGAAAATCTGATGATTTGGAAGCTGGTGGTGGTGTTATTGGTGACCTGAATGATGCCCGACCTCCAGCCGGGTAGAGTTGGCCGCGCTGCTGTGTTTGCACGCTGGTGGGTTCGGCAGCTCCCAGCTGAGCCGAGCTTTGTGTTCCCGAGCCGAGGAGTTCATGGATGCTTGGGGCTCCCACTCTGTCCCAGCGCAAAGTCGGTGGGGGACCCACAGTGGGGGACCCGTGGGCAGCATCTTCTCTGCCAGCTCTCGTTAGATCTGCAAGAGCAAATTTGCTGACACCGCCGGTCTGGCTGCTGTTAACCGAGGCTGGTTTTGTGGAGAAATAATGGCTTTTTGCCTCGACAGATCTGCAATAACAAAACTCCAGCCCCCAAAGGGGGCTCAGCAACCCCCCAGCCCCTGCCTGCCTGGGTGTCAGAGCTGCACCCTCAGCCTGTCTGTCCATCTCTCTGTCTGTCTGTCTGCTCTGCCGGGGTGCGCAGCGGGTGCGGGAGGCGGCTGTGCACACCAGGCTGCTTCTCTTGTCTCTGATCCCCCTCTGGGGGATTGTCGGTTATTACAAGTCTCTGTAGTATTTTCCTTCTCTCTGTGCAAATGGACTGTGCTGCATGTTTAATATGCCGGATTGTCAGGGAGCTGGAAATGGCATTTGGGTAAAAAACAGCCCAAAAGCACACACAGGAAGGCAGCGGGAAGCCTGGCGTGGAGGTGTTCCCGCGCTCCTCGTCCCTGCCGAGACGCCACCAGCAGCAATGCAATCGCAGAACAACAATAATATTGAACAATATTCATTTCACGGGTGCCTTAACTCTGGATCCGTTTACAATTGGGTCCTGCCACAAGAAGGGAGAGCAAATTCTTGCCATTAAAAAAGTCCCCGTGGGACAGACCATGATCTTCTTTGGGTGGCAGAGGGACGCCCGTGGGTGGGGGTCCCTCGCGCTCCCCTCTCACCCTGGCTCTCCCTGCAGCCCAGACATCAGAGGCGAGCGAGGGTCCGTCCTTCAAAACACAACCGCCTGCAAAATAAGGGGGCGCAAGGGGGAGAGCCGAGGCAGAGCTCAGCGCAGCTAGCGGTTGGGCTAACTTTAACTCGGCACTTTGGGTTCTGAATTTCCTCTGAGCTGTTTACAAGGGCTGAAAAAAAACTTCCAGCCCTAACCCGCCCCCCCCAGCACCGTCCTGATGTTGCCCAGAACATCTCCCTCATCCCTCCCTTTCAGGGAGAAAAAAAAAGGGAAGGAGGGAGGAGTGGGAGAGAGGAGGAGAGAGGGAGAAAGTGAGCTCACGTTCACATATTGGTAAAGAGGCTGGTCTTGCAATGCCTTTGAATATTTTACTTTTAGGCAGTTCCCTATCAGTCAGCCACACGCATCCGAGCCGAGCTGAAGCTAACTACAGCCATGGACAGCACTAGGAGATCTGAAATCTAATCGCATGCATCATACCTCCGGGATATTTTTTTAAATTACATATATAAACACGCCAACAGGCAGCCGCGCTCGCACACACACATATACATCCACACGTCGGCAGAGCCGCCAGCACCCGCACGGCTGCTGAGCAAACACCTTGTCTCTTCTCGCAGGATATACCCGCTCACACACATCTCTCTTTATCTCCTCCTGGCTTCCCGGAGGATTGTGCCGACTGTTTTTCATGGAGAAAGTCCAGGGAGAAATGGAGATTGAGAGATGGGAAAGAAGTGAAGAGATTTCAGACGCAGAAAAAAAGGTTATTCAAGAGACATGGAGCAGAGTATATGCAAACTGCGAGGACGTTGGGGTCTCCATACTCATCAGGTATTTAAAAAAACAAACAAAAAAAGGAAGCAGCAAATCCAACTAAATCTCTTTATAGCTGAGAAAGAGGCAGAACAGTATATATAACTGAACTGAAATGAATGACAGTGAGTGGGGAGCTGGCTGGGTGTATTCGCTGGCTGGGAGCAGGCAGGGTTTCACAGCACTCCTCTGATTTTCACACCTTTGAGCCGGGTGGCGGCGGCAGGGGGAGCGGGGGGAGCGGGGGGAGCTTTGCCGGGGACTTTGCGGGACGCTGTTTCTCTCACAAAGGTCACCTT